TCTGAAGAGAACAGAGCCATGACCTAGCAGGCCCCTGCCACTTCCTTCCCAACTGTTATCATTCATTTGCAGCTACTCCTACTTAATCAGTGGTGATTTCTCCATCCATCATTCAATCTGTATTTTTGCATCTTATTCACATGGATACAAACTTTGTCCCCAACATAGGCTGTTCTCTTTGTTCTGGTCAGATTTTGAAGGTTCTTATTGTCTCCAGACCCACACATTCAGTTCATATTCTTCCAGTTACTGCTATTCAGCTGATGTTACCACTCATTTTTTCTTTCCTTGATTATATTTCTCCTGTTATCTTTGATAGATTTATTAAAAAACATTTATTTAGCAACTCTTATGTACCAGAGAAGGAGGATACTGAATAAGGTAACATCCTTATTCTTAAGAAATTCAGAGTCTGGGGCTGGGGTTGTGACTCAGTTTAGAGTGCTTGGTTCACGCGAGTGAGGCACTGGGTTATATCCTCAGCACCACCTAAAAATAAAAACAAAATAAAATAAAGATATCCATCTACAACAAAAAAAATATTTTTAAAAAAAGAAGTTCAGAGTCTAATGGAGAACACAAATGAACAAGCTGCCATCTTTCCAATTTGCCATATGGCAAACACCATGCTTAGTGTTTTACATGCACCATCTTATGGGATAGAGGAAACCAGGCTCAAGTGTGTGGTCAAGTATGTGGACTTCAGAGTCAAAAGAGCTTGGTACAAATCCTACCTCTACAATTTCATGCCTGTGTGAGCACTCTATCCCTCAGTTTCTTATTTAAAAAGTGGATAAATAATGGTGGGTTATAATCAGATATTGTAATATATGCAAAGTTCTTAATATAATGCTTAGCATATTAAAAGTAAAATAAATATTAGTGATTTTTTTTAAAGAGAGAGAGAGAGAGAGAGAGAGAGAGAGAGAATTTTTAATATTTTTTTATTTTTTAGTTCTCGGCTGACACAACATCTTTGTTGGTATGTGGTGCTGAGGATCGAACCCGGGCCGCACCCATGCCAGGCGAGCGCGCTACCGCTTGAGCCACATCCCCAGCCCCAAATATTAGTGATTAATATTTTTTCTATCAGTACCCATTTTGGGGGATAAGGAAATTTGAACTTTAAAGAGGTTCTATAACTTTCTCACAGGCATATTGTTACTAAGGTGGAGAGGTCTAAAGTTTTCTGTTAGCTACTCCCCTCTATCTATTGCCTTTATGGTTGGATGGATACATGCCTTTATGAAATAAGACTAGTGTAGTATTGGAGCAGAGATGAGGAGCATCTAACCCAATTTTGTAATAAAGGAGTTAGGGCAGCCTTCTAGAGCATATGGAGCTTCAGTTAAGACGGGAAGGTCAAACAAGGGTTGGGCTGAACGGAAGACAGGAGAGAAATAGAAGCTAGAGGTAAGAGCAGGGAAGGGCCATTTTATCCAGAGCTAGAAGCTTTTCAAAGGTACAGTGAAATGAGAAATAGCTGGATCAGGAAACTGCAGAATGGATAAGGATGAAGACAAAGGACTAGTCATGCCTTGCTCCATCTGGGTTGATGGGACTGCTGGAAGCTTTTCTCTTTCAGTTCACCCTCCAGTTTTCCTTGTTGGTCTGAATTAGGTCCAGAGGGGTTAATTCTCTCTGTACTTCTTCTAATTCCTTATCACAAAGATGAGATTTTCAATACATGTCCAGGGAGCTGCAGTTTCTATCTCCATTCTCTTGTCCCCCTCTTAGTCCGTGATCTATTTATGGATGGCACCCACCATGCAGAAGTTCCTTCTTAACCACCTGCTATGCATTTGTCTTCTATGCATTTAATACCAATTCTTCTCGAATCTTTGTATCTCCAATCTGTGCCCCTTCTTGAACTAGCAAGTTCCATATGTTTGTTTACTATCTACTAAGTAAAAATGGGTTGGTTGTTTTCTCTAAAATAATTTCCTTTAAAATTTAAATGACATTCATTTGGTATTAGAGTTCTAGAGTTTGGTCAACAAATCTTTCCATCTCTGTGATGATTTTATTATGGACCCAGCCACCAAATAATTCTACCTTCCCTCCAGGTGGAGGTCTTTTCCCTATGAATTCAACTGAGTCCAGCCACAGAGCATCCTATAGATATTCCCCTAAGAATATTCTTATCCATCTCACAGGCCAGTGCTTTATTTTACTTGGGCAGGCCTTTCAGTAGGCCAGCTTCTCCTGGTGACCAGATCACAGTGTGACATTTTGTGCATGATGGTAAAGGCATTCTTACTACCAACCACTAAAACTGAGGAATGATCTTTCCTACCACCCTTCATTCCCACCTCTTATATAATCCATAGAATCTCCCTAACTATAACTTCACCAAGTTGAGGACAAATTTTAAATGCCCAGTCTTTCACTTTTAAGGACTCAATGAAACACCTAGCAAACATTCAGGCATTAACGATTGCAGTTTTAATTGTTGTAGACATGGGTGCTGAAGGAACATAGCATTAAAATTCAGGAGAAGCAACCAATTCAGGAAGACAATACCAACATACTGACCATGGACTTGTTCTTTTTCTGGTCTTGCTTTCTGTCATGTAATCGACACTTCTTGAAGGCTTTCTGTGTTTTACATTCAACTCCCAGGAATTCTGATGCTTCAGCATGATATGTATATTTGTCACAGCTGCTTTTTGTTTTACTGAACCACAGCTGCTCCAGCTGCTATCATCCAGCTGCTGTGTTAGCTGTGTGTGCCATTACTGGCCTCCTGCCTGCCTGATTTCTAACAGACACCCCCATGTTCTAGCTGTGGCCTCCTGAAATGGACAGATTGCTGAACCCCACATCCCCCCATTTTTCAACCCTTTGTCAGGCCTGGTGATACTTTGCATAGCCTATCCCAGACTGTTTGTGTCTTCCAGAAATTCAGATCCTGTGATAGGTATGACGTGCCACATGTTCTGGTTCTTGTATCTACCCTGCTGTGACTTACTATTGATTTTCAATTATTTCATCAATTGGAAAACTTACTTGAATCAAACAAAAAGCAAATTTCTAAAAGTAGAGAGAGTATAACAGTGGTTGTCAGAGACTGAAGCAAGTAGGGAGGAGGGGTGAGGGTGAGAGATTGGTCATTAGTACAATGGTACAGTTAGGTAGGAGCAAGATGTTCTGGTGTACTATTGCACAGAACGATGGCTATAGATAGCAATAATGTACAGTATATTGCAAACTAGTTAGAAGAAGAGATTTTGAATATTTTTCCACAAAGAAATGATAAGTGGTTGAGGTGGTGGAAGATAATCATTACCCTGATTTGATCATTACCCAATGTACACATGTATCAAATCTTCCAGCCAGGTGAGGTTGATCGTACCTGTAATCTAAGTGGCTCCAGAGGCTGAGGCAGGAGGATCTTGAGCTCAAAGCCAGCCTCAGCAACTTAGCAAGGGCCTAAGAAACTTAGAAATACTCTGTCTCTCAATAAAAATATTTAAGAAGGGCTGTTTAAGGGCCCCTGGTTTCAATCCCCAGTACCGAATAAAAAATTGAAAGAGCCCCCCCCCAGCATCAAGCCAGTGCAGAGCACAGTCTTCATTCAAGTGAACTACCCCTCAGTATGCAGCCTATGAATACAGTTGTTGATGGGATTAGAATTTTCCCTACTTGAATCTGATTAAATAATAATAGTAATAATTAACATGTATTCTTTCATCTATTCAATAACTATTATTGAGTGCCTACAATGTAACAGGTATATAATATATCTATGTCTCTACCCTCATAAGAATTCACATTCTAGTAGAAAGGATAGAAAATAAACATTAAAACACAAAAATTCTTAATAGTATATTTATTATTAATATTATAATATTTAATATTATTAGTAGTAAATAATAATTTTAGGGAATTTTAGGTACTACAAAGAAAATTAAACAAAACAGTAGGATAGAGAATACTTAATGGAGCTACTTAAAGAAGAGCAACCAAGGAAAGCCTCTCTGAGGAAGTGTCATTTGAGCTGAGATCTTTTAAGAATACAGCCATGCAAAGATCTGTGGAAAGTCCTTTCCCAGAGAGAGAGATTTTTAAAAACGATTTCTACTCACTCCCCCCCACCAAATAAACCCAAGAAAAAAATCCCAAAGCCTCTCAAAGTACATTGGGCTTAATAATTTAATAATCTTGATTTTTTTTTGGTACCAGGGATTGAATTCAGGGGCACTCAACCACTAAGCCACATCCCCAGCCCTATTTTATATTTTTATTTAGAGACAGGAACTCACTGAGTTGCTTAGCACTTTGCTTTTGCTGAGGCTGGCTTTGAACTCATGATCTTTCTGCCTCAGCCTCCAAAGCTGCTGGGATTACAGGCGTGCACCACTGCATCAGGCCCAAGCAACATATTCTTTTTTTTTTTAATTTCTTACATACATGACAATAGTGGAGTACATTGCAATCATAATTATCCATTCACAGCACAATATTTCATAACTCTGTATATAAAGTATGTTCATACCAAATGATGCCATTATACATGAGCTCTCTTATTATTTTTTTTGCATTACAATTCTTAATACACCTTTATACCACAATTTATCATATCTCTGTTTGTATATAAGATATGTTGACACCAAATTCACATCTTTATATATGTATTTTGTATAATGATGCAACATATTCTTAACCATTGCATTTACTGCCTCTATAGTAGATCACATAGTCTGAAGATGAAAGAAAGAGTTTGGTAGAAGTAGTCCTTGAAATATGCCTTGAACATGCTAAGTGTTCTGTGGAGATTGAGGGGAGGGAGATGGTATTCCAGGTAGAAAAGCAAAGTATAGGACATAGAAGTAGAAACAAATAAAGTGACGTGGCTGTGTTAGAGAAGAGACCAAAATATGTGAGATCATCTGTCTGCCTATTGCAGATCTGACAGTCCTGTTAGAGATCAACTCACATTTTCTCTCTTTTCTTACTCTTGAGAATTAACTAACCTGCTTTTTAAAAATCTCTTTTAGGCTCTTTGAAACACTTCAGTCACTCTTCTGGTCTGTATTTGGCCTTTTAAATCTCTATGTCACCAATGTGAAAGCCAGACATGAGTTCACCGAGTTTGTAGGAGCTACCATGTTTGGAACATACAATGTCATCTCCCTGGTAGTGCTGCTGAACATGCTGATTGCCATGATGAACAACTCCTACCAGCTTATTGCCGTAAGTAGCTTTGCTTTATAAGGGTCTTTGGTTTCAGGAATGTGTGACATTGGTATGGAGCCCACTACAAGCTCAATGACAGTCTGGCTGTGTATAGTGGTGCATACCTGTAATCCCAGCTATTCCAGAGACTGAGGCAGGAGGACTGCAAGTTCAAGGTCAGCCTCAGCAACTTAGTGAGACCATGTCTTAAAATAAAAACTAAAATGGGCTGGGATGTAGCTTAGTGGTAGAGCACTTGCCTAGCCCTGAGCTCAATCCCCAGTACTGGGTGGTAGTGGTGCGGGGGAGAGTCTGTCTGCTTCAATGAACTTACATTAGCTTTCTCAACTGTTAAATTGATTTTATTCTTTCTAAGGTAATTCTGTTTGGACTCAATATATTGAATTTTGGTAATCTATACTAGGTTGTTTTAGTTAATAGAATTTTCTTGCTGTTAAAAATATTTTAATTTTTAAAATTTATTTTCTTGCCTCAGTAAGGAAAATTGATGGTATGAGCACCACTGGCTTCCCCACTGGGCACCTCACCTCCAGGGTCAATTCAGCCAATCTAGTTCTCTAAATTGGACAGCACTATCTCCTGTCTCCTATCTTAGTGGTAAAGTGCCCCAAGTTTTATCCCCAGTACCAAAAAACAATAGTGCATAAGATTGTCTACTGGTGTGCTTTAGATCCTAAGTGCTTAGGTAATCGAAAAAGAAGGGCTATATAATGGAGAAAATATTAGAAGTTTAGAAACCAGGGACTTTAATCCTGATTCTGCCATGTATAATAAAGTGACCTTGGGTAATTTATTTTCTCTTCTTGGGCTTCTTTTTTCATCCCCAAACAGTGAGGGAGTTGCAATCAATGGTCTTTAACATTCTTGCCAGTTCTGTGAGTCTGTGTGTCTGCAGATGAACGAAATAGGCTCAGTAAGGTCCTTTTTAGCTCTGAAATTCTGTTGTATTTGAAGTAGAATATAGTTTTGCTTCATTCCCTCACTTGCTTACTTCCTCTCTCTTTCATTCAAACCTAACTAAACCAAAGCCTCTGATATGATCTAAACTTACTCCTAACCTGTCTCTAGAAGGGGATGAGGGCAGGCATGCAATCTTAGGGCTTGATTTTTCCACTTCCTATGCCTGATATCCTACCCTCCACCCTTGAACAAAGATGACAATATTCATGGTAAGACATTTGTAGTTTTATCACTACATGTTTGGCAGCAGATCTTTCTTTGTGACAGTAAGAAAGGAAGAGATTTTTCTTGTCACCTCATATAGGGCAGTGGCATTTCACTCTGAGCTCAGTGACATTTTCTAGGAAGGGTGGAAATCATCAACTCCAGCTTTCCTGTCACCACCTGCTGGTAGTAGGGTTTTTTATTTTGTTTTTCTTTTTCTTTTTTTTAAAGAGAGAGAGAGAGAGAGAGAGAGAGAGAGAGAGAGAGAGAGAGAGAGAGAGAGAGAGAGAGAGAATTTTAATTTTTATTGTTTAGTTCTCGGTGGACACAACATCTTTGTTGGTATGTGGTGCTGAGGATCGAACCCGGGCCGCACACATGCCAGGCAAGCGCATTACTGCTTGAGCCACATCCCCAGCCCTAGGTTTTGTTTTAATACTACCTACAGTTGTACTTCAAGAAAACTCCTTGACTCCCCTCCCCAGGGAGGGTGCCTGGAGTAGATTACATGAATTGTGTCTATGTCTATACCATCTCACACATCTGGGGTCATGGCCAACCATTCTGAAGACTACCTTCTGCTTTGGAATTTTCTGGTAGTTTTGTTTTTTTTTTTTTTTTTTACCATTTGGAAATGGAACAAGCAGGATGCCAATATTCAGCAACCTGATTGCAAAAGTATCTGGAACTGCTTAAGCGGCAAAGACCAGCAAGTAGATTTTAATTTCATTTGCTATATCTCTACTTCAATAGTGAATATAATCTTTAGAAGGGCCTTTACATGAGGGAAAAGGCTACAAAAAAGGGAAATCACCAAAGACAAATTTCTCCTGCCTCTAAAGGTATCACAGGCTGACTCAGTGTAGGTAGAGACCATGCCTTACTGTCAATCTGTTCATTGCACTTTCTAGTCCACAGTTCAAGAACACTAGGTGAGATCAGTCTCTTGAAGGGTTGACCTCCTTATCAATGTTCCCAGGATTCAGAGATGCTGGTGATATAGGGCTCTGTAGCAATTGGTATTTCTATGCCAAAGAAGACTCCTCTTCTATGATGTGTAGTATTATCCTCAAGATACAGTGAAGCAGGAAATCACTCCAGGCCTATGCTCCATGTTCCCAGCCAACTTCAGTAGGTGAATCTGGCCATAGTATATATTATTAGTTATTTGCAATTAGCAGTGTTTTACTTTTCTCTTCATATCTCCCTTAAGCTACTTATTACTCTCTGTGACACTTCTTTCAGTACAACCATCTTGTCACTAATGTTATTTATGTACATGCATAAATTACATCAAACAAAGCTGCTCTTGATGCTATTTTAACCAGATTCACCCATTACAAAATATTAGGTGAGACAGATGGAGTAGTCCAAAAGTGCTCATTTATCTTAGGCCCTATTCCTATCCCCTGTCCCAACCACAAGAGACATCTCTGTTGCCTGAGATTGGTCATTACAAAATATGATGGTCTGTGATCAAGACTTATTCAGTAAGTTAATAAGAACCTTCAGAGCTGGGCACAATGGTGCACGCCTGTAATCCCAGCAACTCAGGAGGCTGAGGCAGAAGAAATGCAAGTTTGAGGCCCTAAGCAACTTAGTGAGACCTGTTTTAAAATAAAAACTAAAAAGGGCTGGGGATGTGGGTTCAATCTCCATGCCAAAAAGAAGAAAGAAAAAGAGCCTTCAGTTTCATTGGCTGCTGTGCAGCACTCACTCTAGTGCTGACAAAAAGTGAACAGCATGTGCCTCACTGAGCTCCAGCTGCTGAGTGGCTTCAGGAGAGCCCAAATACATGGGATTGGTTCGGTCATCTCCAGTGGGGTGGCAGCATCTGGAATCATCATCTCAGATGAATGGACTTCTCTGCGGCAGAAGACAGCCTTGCAAATGAAGACAGTCATTCAAGTAAACCTAGCATTGAAAAAATAGCAGACAAGGTTAGAGAAGGCTGTTGCCCATCATCAAACTGCCAAAGAGGGCAGGTGGTCTCCCTGCCTACCCCCAGCCACCTGGGACCAACCTCCAATTCTCAAAGCACAGAGAAAAAGACAGTACTTCACATACTACACTATGAATTTTAACCCTCTAAGTAGATCTGATAACCAATTTCTATGCATTGATATGACTAACCAGATGATAAGATATTAGAAATATTTCTGTTCTAGTTGGTAAATAGCTGCCACTCCAGCTGCTCCCTATAGGACACCCCCAGACCTCTTCACTATCCAGCAAGTAAAAGGTAACGTCTGGAACAGCAGATAATATGCAGAACCCTGCTTCAGTACTGCAGCTGGCATACATTCAAATTGATTTGTTTCTTAGTCTGAATATCACTGTAGTAAGCAGAAACTTCAATCACTCCCCTTCCATTTCTCATCTAATAGTCAGGACTATGAATATGATGAAATATCACACTTGCAATTATGTTTCATGACATGGCCAAAGGAATTTTGCAGATGTATTGTTACTAATCAGGGAGATTATCCAGGTGGGTCTAATCAAATCACATGACATGAGTCCTTTAAGAATGGTTTTCTATAACTGATAGCCAAAAAGGATATTAGGGATCTGGGGCACAAGGAAGAGTTGATCTGCCATTGCTGTCTTGACCATGGAAAGGTCCATGTGGTAAGAAATTCAGGTGCCTCTAGAAGATGTGAGTGACCCCAATATGACAGACTGCAAAAAAAGTAGAGACCTTAGTCCTACAACTGCTCATAAATGAATCCTGTAAACATCATAAATGAACTTGGAAGCAGTTTCTTCTCTAGAGCCTTCAGATCAGAGTACAGCCACCCTGATACCTTGGTTTTAGCCTTGTGAAAACCAGTGTGACTGGAACAGAGTAAACAAAGGGAGAGAAGTAGAAGAGGAAGTCATGAAGGTAATGGGAGTAAGGGATAGATCATATAGGCCATTATAGACCATTGTAAGGACTCCGGCTTCTACTCTTGTGAGGTATAAGGAGCCCTGGGAGGATTTTGAGCAGAAAACATATATGATCTAGCTTGCATGTTAATAAGATTTCTGTGTTGAAAAGAGGGTAGACTGAAGCAGGGTAGGACAAAGACAGAGAAATCAATTGTGAGATCATTGAATTGACCCAAAGAAGAGCTGGTGGTGGGTTAGACCTGGTGGTTGTTATGGAAGCTATGAGAAGTGATCAGCTCTTAGATATGTTGCTAGATTAGTTGTAAGGTGTGAGTGAAATACAGGAGTCAAGGATGACACCAAGTTTTTTTGGCCAACTGGAAGGGTGGAGTTGCGCATTACTGAGATGGGAAAGAGTGGGAAAGGAGTAGGCTCAGTGCAGGGGAATAAGGGCAGAGATCCAGAATTGAGTTTTAGACTAATGAAGTTAGAGATGTCCATTAGCCATCAGAAGGAAGATGTTGAGTAGACAGTGGTCTACAAGCCTAGAGGAGCAATCCAGACTGGAGACAAAGATTTAGGAGTCACCAGTATCGGCATGGATGAGATCACTAAGGGAGCAAGTGTGGCTAGATAAGTAAAGACAGAAGGGAGACCAGTAGAGTTGAGGAATGGGAACATGGAAAGGGTGGAGGGGAGAGAATTGGGAAGTAATGGGAAATTAAATTGACCAAATTATGCTTTGTCAATATATGAGTATGAGGCAGTGAATCCCACTATTAGGTATAATTATAATGCAGCAACAAAAAGAAAAAAAGTGAAGAGATGGGAAAATAAGGCCCAAGAGACACTGATATCTACAGGTTAGAAAATGAGGATAGATCACTCAGAGACTGAGAAAGAATACCCAGAGAGAGGACAAAAAGCAGGATAATGTACTATATTGTAATACTATATTC